TTTGCAGTCCATTTTCCAAGCCCACGAACAGCACATTCAGTTTTAAGTTGCTTGAGAGCAGAAACCATAGCTAGTACACAGTGGAATCCAGCAAAAGGCCTTGAACACAGCTGGCACTCATGTTTGTGGACAAACGAAAGGAGCTGCCTGCGTCCCATCCATGACTCCAGAAGGACCAAGTCCAGATGACTTGGGTTCCAGAGGCTGGAAGCAACAGAGATTATGTGCAGGATTACCTTCCACGCGTCAGAAGGGAGGGAGACCGGATGGGAATACATGCTAGCGCAAGACACAACACATGGGAATGGAGCCTGTAGGGCGAACCCGGGGAGGGGAGGTGGTAGAGAATTAGATCTGGGGTGGGGATGGTGGTGGTGAGCACTGCTGGGTTCTCCTGTTCTGTTCCCAGGAGCTCCTGGGGATCAGATCCTTTTCTACATATTAAATGTGTCATCTCCCCCAATACAAGCCTCAAATTGATACACTGTGGCATTACCCTTAATATCAAATCTAGGCAGATCTCTTAGCTACTTTTTTCATTGCTGCTGACAAAATACCCAACACCCAAAGTTACAGGAGGAAGGGTTTACTTAGCTCACAGTTTGTAGAGGTTTCAGTTCATAATCAGTGTTGGAAGACACCAAAAACAACAAGAGAGGAGGGGATAAGCCTCTTTCTGTCCCTTATATTGTATGCAGGCTACCTGCTCTGGGGTGGTGTAGCACTCACACCTTTAATCCCAGCATTGGACCGTGAATTAACCACAAAATCTAGATTCAGCTACCTCTGAAAATCTTGCCCCTCCTGACTGCTGACTGCATGAGGCTCTGAGGGGACATCCAGGCACAAGCCTTAACTGCAGAGAACCAAATAAACTCACTTCAAAAACAAAGATCTGTTTCCCTAGAAGCATGCAGTGCATATCCTTCAGTATAGCTCCAAAGAATGACTGGAAAAAATGTTGGCAAGAAAAATACAAAATTTGTCCTATTATCCCCCAAATACACTAATTTTTTCCTTGGATAACTATGGCTGTTTCTTCTGCAATGATTAGGAGCCAGCCTGCACTCAGTTACACTTTTTTTTTTTTTTTTTTTTTGTTTTTTTTTTTTCCGGTACTGGGTCAGTTACACTTTTAAATGGATGTCCAGGCCTTCAGGTGGAGTTTCTTGGGGAGGGCTATTTTATTTTTCCACACTGGAAACTGAGTCTGGAGGCATACTCTACTACTACTTAGGCTGGCCTCAGACTTGCAGTATTCTTGCCTCAGCCTCCTAAGTAACTGGGATTATAGGTATATACCACTACACAGTAGTTGGTTGCAAACAGGTCATTTTATTGTTCTAATTTGAGGCCAAGCCATTAAGTCCCTGAGGAAGTTTCTCTGAAGGCAGTCACTCCCGGGGTCACTGGGAAACACACTTTACAATCTTCTCACCCTGAAGGTTTCTCTGGAAGGCTGACTCTATTCATTAGGGAAAGGAAACTGCTATTCATTAAAAGCACTGCCTGTGCCTGATGCTTTATAGGTGTGTTATTAAATCCTTACCATGCCAGGAGTATCATTATCCACACTAAGGCTGCACGCTGGCCTCTAAAAGCTGTCTGCTGGGGACCACCCAGACCGGTAGGGAACCCATGTTTGCCAGACTCCAAAGCTCCTCTTCCCCCAGTCCTGTGTTAGTGATTGATAGCTCAGACCTTCACCCTGTATTTGTTCGGAGGTGCTTGAATGAGAGAGAGAGTATGGTATTTATCACAACACAAAGCATCTTTTCCCTTGGGGGGAGCTTAAAGTAAAAATGTATTTTAGAAGACCAAATGCTTATGCTATGTGCGCGTGCTAAATTCAGCTGGCACTGCCTGAGGTGGGG